ACGCTCACTAGTGACTGGCTTCAAGAGGTATTTCATGGAGTTCTAGTGAGAAGTAGTGACCAATGGAGTTCAACCAGGTTAGTTGTGAGATAGTAACTCACTGAAGACATTGGTGGATGTGTCACTCAATTTCGTGGATTAGTTGAAGTTAGACATTAACACTGTTGGATGCCGGCCCAGTGGTTTAGTGGTTAAGCGCTCGCGTGCGAGACTGATAGGTCCTGTGTTCGATTCTCGCGGGGGGGGGGGCGAGGTTGTGAATGTGCACTGCTGAGGAGTCCCACAATGGGTTCCCCATGGTGGTCTAGCTTCAACTGAATCATCATCTTAACCATTGAAATTGACCTTTCTTTCTCTTCATTTGTTTTGTCAATATCGTAAAAGGCATCGGTATATGAAGATTTTATGCGTTTTTACCATTACTTATCACTCGCGTTTTTTGGTTTGTTCATTTGTGTAGATTATATGTTCCTTATTTTTCCTAGATCATTGTATAAACCTTTGAAGGCTATTGGTAGACGGATACTTTGGTGTTACATAAAATATACTTGTAGATAGACATCTTAAATCTTTGGAACTATCTTATTTATTTATTTATTTTAACACATAGGTATAGGACAGGGAGGCACCAAAAACATATGCGCCAGACAGATCTCAATTGAATTGTGTGAGGGTTGTGATACTGACCGGGTGCCCAAACCGAAGTAGGTGTTCTTCTTAGGGGGCCACACCCCGAGCCTTCGACCTGAACGTCTGACCCACAAGGCAGTGGAGCATCGTGAGGAGATGCAGTCCCATGGTAGCCGGTGACCAACGATTGGTTCATACGCCATTTGTTCCTTCAGGTTACTGGAGCCCATGTGCACTATTGGTTTGGGGTTCGGTTAAAGCGCCGGACATTCGATTTTCGTCCTCTCATTTTTGTAAACAACACCCCGCCATGAGAAGGCAGTGAGTAGGACTTCCCTGGCAGAGGCTATATACGCATGGCCATGTGAGAGCATTTCGAGAGGGAGAGGGGACTCTCCCCACTCTCGGCCGCACCAGGGCATTTGGGGGCTTTGGAACTATCTACTCTATTCACAACTTTATAGGTTTTAGAATCACCAACCGGAATGTTAAATCATAAAACCGTTTTACTAGAAACAATGGATAAGTATAGTATTGTGTGATTCATTGGATAAATCAAAACCAAATATTTCAGTTTTTCATCAGTAAAACTACATAATAAATTAAATAGGGATGAATAGTGGAACATATTACCAGGTTAGATTTGGTCAAAATACTAAAACTTTATCGTATAGTTAGTTATTGGCAGCCAAACAGAGTACAAGATATGTTAGAATAACGTATTGGTTAGTGTTCCCGTACTTGGCTTTTTTATTTAAACATGAACATTGATACAAGGAGGAACCGAATACATAAGCGCCACAAAAGTCACTTGATTTATGTGTGAGCTGTGGTACTGCCTGGGTGCCCAAACCGAACCAGATGGTTTTCTTAGGGGGCCACCCCCGGAGTCATTAACCTGAAGATGTGATCCACAAGACAGTGGAGCAACGTCAGGAGATTCAGTCCCATGGTAGCCCGTGACCAATAATTGGTTCATACGCCATTTGCATGATTAATTTAGAATCAGGGTTTTCCAACTCTCCTAGGTGGATCGTCCATACCCACCAACCTGGTTAAAGCTCCGTACATTCCCTCTTCGTCCTCTCAATTTCGTAAACAACACTCGTGTTGCGAGAAAGCAGTGAATAGGACTTCCCTGTTGGTGGTTGTATGTACATGATCATGTCAGAGCATTTCGTGAAAGAAAGCTGACTCCCCCCACTTTGGGTTGTAACACTGCATTTGTTCCTGTACACCTCACATCAATACAATAATTAGAGGAGTGGGAATCAATAAGGGGAAAACCAATGAACAACGATGTAGGCTATTAAAATAATTAAGATTTAGAGGATAAAACAAATATCCAAAAATGAACATGAAAACTTAAATTATGTCTATGATGTCTACAAAAATGCATATCCAAGCAGAATAGACAAATGCTTTACTGTGCTACATACGAAATGAGAAACCATGGTTAAATAACATTAAGATTAGGATTGTTGAATTAGAAATCACTCGAATATTCTAAATAAGACGTTAGTATCTACAATAGTTAACTGGTCCTATTTCAATTGACAATTCTAGATTTTTATGTTACTAATCAGTGGATCACCTCAAATATCTGGCAAAATAGATTTGTAAATAATCTAGCGACTCATATTACCATAAATAAACCTAAATTACACTACATATTAGTATAACAAGAGGCAATTAACAAGGAGGACAAATAGATAGAAAGTGATAATACCAATAGTAGGTAGTGGACTAAGCTAAAAGTATGTAATACAACTCACCTACTAAGTAATAGTTTATAGGCTCGACTTTGAGAGACATCATTTGTATAAGGACTAATGATTCTAACTGACTGCAGAAGATGAAGTAGGTGTAACCTGTTTCAAACCTAGGGTGTACAATTTATAGCCATTAAACTGACTCTAAAAACATGGTTTATTTGAGAATAAACAAATGAAATAGAGAAATAAATGGTTAGGAAATAATACCATTCTCAAGATCTAAAGTATATATTCGATGGACATTAAATCTGAACTTTATCACTAAAGTATCTCTGATCACGAATTTTATTATCTCATGGAATCAAGATGGGAATTTTTTCATCTCTAGGCAAGTGATGAGGATTTCATAGTTTGACAGTATATCATGAATTGATCATCCTATCTAATTGAACACACCTCAATTAGTCGAAATGTTTGTAAAATACTGTACGAGATAGCCGAAGAAGATTGGAATTTTTATAAACTGAACACATTACTATAGCAAGACTGATTATTCGTTCGGATCTTGGTGTTCCATAAATTATTTACACTGTACTACTTAAAAGAGAAACATATTGTAGAGGATCATTATAAGTAACGACGAATTATTCCTTACATATTGCCTAGGACTAATCATATGATTAAAATATTTACCCACTTGTGAAAGGAACTCGGCTAACAAATATAAACTTATGTATGTACCTGATTTCTAATTGCAGATTTTCGCTTGAAGGCTAGCGATACTATTTTGCTCTCCATTAAAAAAAAAATCAGACAGAGTTTGAACCCGATAAGGAGTGAAGAGTGTGGCATTTGTTCCAGGTCCTCTACATCAACTCAGTGTTGACTGAGTCAGTTTGTTCTTGTTGTAACTTCATTGATGTTTTGTGCGATTGTTATGTGTTGAAATAAAACGAAACTGTTAAGCTTATGACTTGAAACTAGACGCTAATTACTACTACTGATACGACTGTTTGCCAAGACTGTGATATACCTATACCTTCCATTTATTGGGACGGAACGAGGTTGCTTTGTTGATGAAAGGAAGAAAACAAGACTGCAAAAGCAGGCTGGTTTATTTATCAACAACTAATTGGACGACAGCCGGAATAGTAATTTGAATATCCTTTTAAATGTTTTGGCCGATCATTAAATTGGACTAGTAACTAATCAATAACCCAGTGCGCATAGAATCCGTGAGTGATAAAATAACTGACTTGGCTGTGAAATATAATTCATCAGACTTATATAATTGATTTATTCCTAACAGTGATATTACCAACTAATCATCAAGTGTGTGCAGTACCATATGTATGTAAATGAGTGTCTTTCGTGAACGTATTTTGGAGGGCCATTAAAATATTCATCTGCACCAGTTCTCTCGTTCTTATATATTTGTCCTATAAGTCACAAAAGCTCCCGGTTCCAAGTATTAATACAAAAATTATGATTACAACAAAATCATTGCTTCATATCATTGCACATATACATAATACAAATATGATTCGGTTGTTTTCCCAACAGAATATACTAAACAAACATAGCTGGGACAACAATAGGATAACGTAACTTTAAAACATAATTTCCTATCAGAAATTCACAACTTATCTGATCTGGGAGATACTTTAAAACTGCTAACGCTTATCAACAAGACGCAACCAGGATCTCCAGGAAATCTGTGCTTTCTGTGGGATGCAAACTCATACCGCTGGATGTTCAAGTCGGTGAAGTTTTAACAAACTAACGGACTGTTGTAGAATTTTGACTTAGATACGATTATTACATAAACGACCTGCTTCTACACAAAGCATCAAAGTATACCGAAGTAGATAGTGATTCAGAATATATGCATTTACCGATTCAGTTGAAATTCACATCTACAAGAATTTAGTACATTCTTGAGATTTCTACAAAATCCAGTCTGTTTTGTTGCGATTACAAAACGATCTGGAAATAAAATCCTCTACAAATAATCCCCAAAACTCAACGTGACAAGATGATTTTTAAAGTAATCCACTTGAAGTTTATAAGACCACGTTAGCCCTGGTACGGTCGAGGGTGGGGAGAATTAGCTCTCATTCTCGAAATGCTCTCATATGGCCACAAGTATACAACCACTGTCAGGAAAGTCTTACTCACTGCCTTTTCGCAAGACGGGTGTTGTTTACGAAACTGACAGGATGAAAAGCGAATGCCCGACTCCTTAACCGGGTTGGTGGATATGGACGATCCATCTAGGAAAGTTGGAAAACCCTGTTTCCAAATCAACCATGCATATGGGCTCTAGTATCCTGAGGGTAAAAATGGCGTATGGACCTATTGTCGATCGCCGGCTACCATAGGACTGCGCCTCCTGACGTTGCTCCACTGTTTTATGGATCAGACCTTTAGGTCGAAGACTCGAGGCGTAGCCCACTATGAAAAAAACTCCCTTTGGTTTAGACACCCAGGCAGAACCCCATCCCGCACACAAATCAAATGAAAATTGTGTGGCGCATATGTATTTGGTGCCCCTCTGTATCAATATTTATGTGTTCAAATAAATAAATAATAAATAGATTCAAATAAAATAAATGAATGACCACAATAATACCACTAATCGTTTACTCAGCTATTGTTTTTACACTTCATAACAATTAATCCAAGAAATTCAACAACATTTATAAGTGAAAATTTATAAGTACTATACAAAGGCTGTTTGGTAGGAAAAGCAATGTACATGTATAGTGAAATACTTAATGTATCAAAAATAGCTCTAGAACTTGTTTTTCGTAATTATAGCTCCAAATGCTATCAACATGATAGTTAATAGTGCCACTGTTTCGGAATAAACAACAGGCTTGAATGAAATTCCCTACAAAATAAAGTATTAGTGAATGTTTTTATACTTTATGTCGAACGGTGACTGTGAAGACAGGAGGTACGCCGGGTACAAAACCACCCTTCGAAGATCTCAAGTAAGCCGTAACACCTTTTTCATTATAAAACCGGATAACATATTCACCTTTAGGCACATCTTTGTGATTGAAGACGAACGATACCTAGAGTTATGAAGTTAATATTGTAAACAAAATGTTAAGAATATACTTGAAAATTATCAGTTTCAATATGACGGGCAACTGGTTGAAGGACCCCATTTAACTCAGCGTACAAATTTGATGACTGTTAACAATCATCAGATAATATAAAGTCTTACTCCTTTTTCTTTACATTTGGCTTCACCTTCAATCAAAATTACGGTTTCAGTGGAGAGAACTGCTTCGCTTGAAGAGTAGGTAACCGGCCTGACGTCAAACTCGTCACAAGAAAGGGCTTAACAAGTACGCTATCAGTTTCAAAATGATGGCAATACATACCAAGCTTCACAAACACGGTCACGAAACTAACCAAGAACCAGTTCATCGCGGTGTTTACGTGTACGTGACCTTCAGACAGGTAATCGATGTACTAGAAGTAAAGTTTTGAAACTTCACTGTATCTCATATCCAGATGCGTGCTTGAAAACATAAGTCTGAGGGCTTTTATAAATAATTATCCAGTATACTTCCGTCTGTCTTTGAATCTTTTTTGAATGACTCAAGTGAAAGTGTGGGTTCTACCTCATCAACGAGTGAGTTCCAAAGGATGGTTATTCAGTGGAAAATAGGTACATCACAAAGATTCAGTTTGTCCCTGTCTTAAAAATTCTCTTCTGTTTCCTCTCACATTTTCCTGCTCAGCTGAAAGAAATGTGAGGGATATTTCAGGTCGTGCTTACTTACGCCTGTTAATCCCAATGGAGCATAGGCCGCCGACCAGAATTTCCAGATCATCTGCGAAGTCTCGACAGTCCAGCTGCATTCTAGCTGTCCACTGTATCCCATGCTTCTCTCAGATGTTGGCATTCTTATGATCCAGTCGATCATCAGGAGAAAGAGAAAGGGTGAGAGTAAGCAAGTTTGTTTAACACCGGTCTTTACTTCGAACGAGTCTGTCAGCTATTCTCCATGCACGATTTTGCAGTTTGATCCATCATAAGAATTTCGTATGATATTGACTATCTTCTCAGACACTCTGTAGTGTGGAAGAAACCTTCATAATGTTGTCCTATCCACGTCATCAAATGCTTTCTCATAGTCAATGAAGTTGATGTAGAGTGATGAATTCCATTCAATTGATTGTTCCACAATGGTCCGTAGTGTTGCGATTTAGTCTGTACAAGATCTATCCTTACAGAATCCTGCCTGTTGGCCTCAAAGTTGGGTGTCTATGCAGTCCTTCATCCTGTTTAACAATACCCTGTTGAAGACTTTTCCTGGTATTGAGAAAAGAGTGATGCCCCTGTAGTTCTCACAGACGCTGAGATCGCCTTTCCTTGGTATTTTGACCAGGTGTCCTTCTTTCCAGTCTGTTGGTACTTGTTCTTCATCCCAAATCTTACTGAAGAGAATGTGGAATATCTTTGCTGTTATTGCTACATCTGCTTTCAGTGTCTCTGCTGGAATGTTGTCTGGTAGTGTACATCACACTTATATGACCTTATTGTAGCATTTGTTTTTCACCAAAACAGCCTTGAAGCTAAATAAATAATAACTAGGAAAAATCAAATCAAACGTAGAACACTCGGATAAGGTCAGAAAATATGGGAGTAAGAATAATTAAAGTAACAGCGTGCTCCTGACTTGCTCGAGTGATCACTCTAGGAAACTCACGTTTTTAAATGAGATATATTATTTTATTCCATGCTCGAATCTGTACTTCAAAGATCTTTACAAAACATACTGCTGACTGTAACGATGGAACAAGTCAGTATAGACCCGCGATACAGGATCGGGTCCATTATTTTAATAGCACAGATAATTGCATAAGTACCAACAGTGACCTAAATTCTATGATCAAACATCAATAAGAGAAAAATGAATAGCGCTGAACCGGCCACACTTCCCTGTATAACCCCACTGACTATATCCATAGGTTTACAGCAGAAAGATCCGAAGTTAACAATTTGGCGAAGTTCTGTTACAGGAGATTTAAACCGCGACAAGTGATCCTGTGTGGAAAATAGAGAAAATTTTCAAGGAAGATTGTGAGGTGCAAATTCCATGACAAGTCAAAATATAGTATAAACACCACTTTGCTGGCATTTATTTTCGGCGCATTTGGCCAGAAAATTATAAGTAGGATGAGCAGTACGAGCGTTTTATCAGGAATCTAGTTTGAGAGAGTCTAATGAAGCTACTTTTAAAAAAGCTTGAGAAGGGCTAGGGGTCCTTAAAATCACCTATCATCTACTTTATGTAGAAGGTATAACGTTTTGATAACTTTTATTGTGACTCTATTTACTGTCCTTAACCCCACCTTTCTAGCTAACTCTTCATGACTTGAGACTACTCACCGAACTAAATCTGAAAGGCATTTATTCCTATCGACGAACTCATAACCCACCATGACACAACCACTCATCCTATTCCTCCCTCTTGTAACTTAAATAAGCTACGTTTTTGTTTTGATGTGATGTATTCTTGATACCGATGCTTCCAGAATACTTTTGATATATATTTGGCCTGTCATCCGAAAGAACACTGCTGAAACTACATCCCTAAGAGTTAACGTGACAAAGAACGAACAGAATCTGGCTAGCAGTTGAATCCATGATGATTACAATTAATTACCGATGAACAATAGCAAACTTCCATAAAGCAAACTTCACGAAACAGAGCCAATCAACTCATAAACTATCAACTAAAGTACGTCAGCCATAAAATCAAAGATAAAACGGTTATTAAAAGATTCAATAATATCCGAGAAATACTTACGATTCAGAACTTGTGGACGATTTAATAACATTAACGGTGATAAATCTCAATAATAGGAAACGATATGCAAAATACCAATAACAACAATTAAAATAGTGAATACTACAGAAATGCAAAATACTAGTAATAAAAAACGGATATGGAGAGATTTTCTCATATTAACGCATGAGCACACAAAAATGGATCTTACATGAAATGAATCCCAAGCTCTCAACTTTAAGGAAATTTTGGGGAATTTTCCCAAAATAGGTAAAATTTTCCCCAAAATTGGGAGCTTGGGATTTAAAAAGTTAACAACCTTTGTCACTAGCGTTATTTAAAAACGAAACGAGAATAGCTTGAACTTGTCTTGCAAGTTTAGATAGGAAGGTTTGTCAAGGGTAATTGCTAATTTTAAGCTTCTTAAATAGGTAATAAATAAAGCGATTAGTTCAAAAACTCGTGTTTTTGCTAAAAACTACCATCCAGTCATTTAACCAATAATTGTTAGACGAACTGAAATAATCAACTTCAAATTACATTAGGTAGATAAACTGATAAGGAACATAATATAATGTAATATTACGAAACAAACCTTCTTATCAATGAAGGAATATTACACTTACTGTTTGGTCAAAGGCAATAATATTCAACTTCACTAAAACAATAAATGTTTCGAGTTCTATGTTTTAGCTGACTGTCAGAAAATGCACACTTCCAGTCAGTTTAAGCAACACAATCAAAAGAAGGAAGAGGTCGATACAGAAGCCTTCATAACCAAAATGTTGAGTAGATCAACGTAGATGTAGTTTGTGAGAATCATAGAAGTTCTGTGAAAGCCGAAGAAAAGGAAAGAGTCAATAAAAAGCAAATGCAACCGTCTCACCTAGAATGAAAATATCAACGGAATGTACAGCTGCAGAGATCATGAAGATCAACTTCACATTTAACAGTAATTCAATAAGTTACATTACAAAGGTGTGTACATGGAGGGATTTTCATATACATTGATACAAGCTTCCAAAAAGGATCATACAGAGGTTCCTGTCAAAAATCCTATGACCAGTGACTTCGCATTTACAATGACTTTTCGGTTGTAGATCTGTTTCATAGTTTTATATTGTGAGAGATTTTATCTAACCTTTGTCGACTGGTTAGGTTTTTGCGTTTAACGATGGATTTTTACAGATTTCGTAGCGTTTCAAAGCATCACTAGTAAATATACCAGGTATAAAGTATCTGTTCAGTTAACTCAGTAACATCCTTACTAGTGTGAAGAACTATCCACATGAATCCGTGATGTTCTCCTCGAGGCAGTTCACCTGTACATAAGAGAACTAGCATTTGATATTACTAGACAAGAACAATATAAGTTATAGAGTGGGGAATGAGGTAGTCTTTACCACTATAAGTTTAAGCATGTATTCTGGCATAACAATAATAAATATTCAAACATAAGAATGAAATCCAAAAATATAAAAAATGTCAGGATGCATAACAAAACGCGTAAATTGTCACACAAAACAAAAGGTATGTAGTTTGGTGTGTCAGATCACATTGATGCTATAGAGTTTGACAACTTCGTCATCCGAAATCCCTTGTATATGATTCTAGAATTCTAGAATAACCATGTGAGAATATACAAGTGAATTAGGGATTGAGGTGTCGCAGTGTATGGAATATATGGTGACCGACAAGTTACCGTAAAAGAATCGCAGCACGGCATAGTCGACGTGATCTTATGCAAATGCCTGATCATAAGTCTTCAACCAGGAATGAATCCAGTAGAACAAATAAGGATGTAATCAATGTCTAAGACATGCAAATCTATTTATTTTAGAGTTTTATCGACTCCTACAACTTTATCGAAAAATATTCTAGCACAATTCCCTTTGCCTTAAAAAGGATATCGCTCTTTACGAACGAGCTCAAAGAAAAGGGATTTCAAAGGTACTTAAATTGAATTAAGATACAATACTTGATCACTTCTCCTAGAAACACCGAAGGTGTAACTTGTTCACTAGAGGAAGATTAAAGGAAACAAGGTCTTTGTCCGTCGTATCTTTTACAATCTCCTTGATATTAATAGACCGGGAATCAGACTCAGTTTAAAACTAGATCACCAATGTAGATGACCTATGTCAAATGATTGGGGGCCTACTTGACTTAGACCGGAATGGTGCGACCAACAGCCAACATCGAAGTCACACCTCGAGGTCAGCATCTAACGTGGATTACCCCTTCGTCTTATCAAGGTACTATGGATGCTTTGAAGATTGTGCAACACAAGGGACGTTATTACAGAAATATGATAGTTAAAGTACGTACAAGAGAGAAAATGACCACCTCCGCAGGCGCCAGTCCATGGCGTACGATTAATTTATGCCCTTTGGCTGTCCTTGACTTTGGCATGGATCGATGATCTGTCCGATATTCAGTGACTCAACTGCTGAGTGATTTGACTAGAGCTCAGTGACATTTCACTGGCCCTACAAAACTACACCTCAGTGAACATCCATTCGGAACAAAAGATGGGACCCGTGTAAAGTTTTTTACTGCTTTTTTAGTTGGAATCTATAAGTTGAGAGATTCCGCACCCTAATCGATTGTGATAGCACCTTCGGTAGAGTTTTA